AAACACAGCTGTACAGCTTGAAAATGGAATCACTAAAACTTAACGTATAACCAAAAGTGTTTGGGAAATATTTGAACTGTGAAAACTCGATAAATGCAGGTGACAGACAACTAACCACTTCTACAAGCACAAATAATACAAATTCCAAAATAAGCTTCGAAGATGATCGATAAAAGCCGTCAAGGGCATATACTAAGGCGATAGTCCTCTTTAGAATTATGGCCACGCTTCTGTGTGAAAAAAAAACAATTTAGTGTTACCCTTGACCTACTTTTTTGATCGTAATCTGATTATATTACCATGTGTAGGAGTGTTAGTTATTATCCTTCTTATTTTTAATTCTCTTATTGATTTGTTTGTTTTTAATTGACCTTTGATTCTTTCATTTTTTTTTAACAAGTAAGTGCGTATTTCAGGATTACATCATGAACTGATATCGGTAAGAATGTGGCGTTTGCTACTGATAACATTTATCAGTAGTATATAAAGAGTCATAAAAACATCAAATAGTAGGGAGGTAGATTTGATATCAGAGAATGCAAATGATACAACAGCGTTGTGGAGATAGATACCTGGGAGACATGGAGACCATAAGTAGCACTAGACGGAAGTTCTGTGCACAAATGGTGCGTTGAAGATAAGGCGTACATAATTTTGCTATCAATTTTTTTTAAAAATCATTCCTTTACCAAGTCTTTTGTTTTTGCCGTTACAAGAGAAGCGTTGGAAAACAAGCTGGAAGTACTAGAGAGAAGTTTCCTCGGCGTGGTTTGGGACTAACTCTTCAGAAATACGCACCCAGTGGAGTTTGAATCCAGGACCTTCCGGGTGCAAGGCTAGTGAGCTCGTAGACCATTAAGCCACTGGGACCCAATCCAGTGATCAGTCGAGGAATTTCAACTTCTGCCAATTCACGACATCCCCATTGAGTCATACGAAAAAGAGAAGACGTTCAGCGAAGAGACTCTTTTCAACGGCGAATTCATTCGTATAGCTGTACAATGGGCGAAGTCCATTTTATCTGACTCACAACACCCTCTACACTCACAACTCTCCCCATGTATCTCTTCAGGGAAAACAAGAAGTCTATATAGGAAACTATATGCCCGCACTAGTAAGTACAAAAACTCATCCATACCCTACCTAGCCCGTGTTCTGTGCGATAAAGAATGCATCAGGCATGAAACCTTTAACTTATTAAATAGCCACTAGAACCAATGAATCTCGTCTTTCCAACTCACATCATTTATGGGTACAACGTTTTCTCTCTTTTCCATTCTCTCTACCTTTTTTGTCTTTATTTTTGTTAAGTGCTGTTTTGTTTTTCTCTTCCTTGCAAACTCTAGTTAAAACATCTTGTTGTTCTTTTACACTCTGTATATCTCGACCATTTTGCTATCGCTTACGCCAGTAAATATGCTAGTAGTATCTACTTTTGTAACACCTTCAAACATTTTAATTTTGGCTTTGCTACCGACATACTAATATGTTGTTGAGATAATCTTTAATCTATGTAGAACTTTATTTATTGTTAATGTAAAAACTGGATGCAATATTGTAGTAAAATGCTGAGAATTCCATTCTGTATCACAAGTACTGATTTGGAATAAAGCTTATATAATAATAATAATAAAGCTTATATAATAATAATACAATCGCATTTATATATAATTATTTGTGTGTGTGTGTGTACATGAGGTTTGTCAAGTTTAGATAATTGATCAGGTAATACAAGAATGATCTAATATAGAAACAAGGTTAATCGGACAGCAACTAAAGTAAGACTGAGTTAGTAAGTTAGATGACGTAATATAATTGACTAAAATGTTTCAACTTAGGTCAGGGTAGCAACAGAGGTAATTACAGGTAGAGACTAAGTAGCGGTGGGGTAGAGAATAATCCCATTTAAATTAGAGCTGAAATCGAGCAAATAAGTTGGATGACGTAACGTAAATGACTTGAAATTGAGCGCTGGTCAAGTCAGTAACAGTAGTAGTGAGGTGTAGAAATTAAATCGGGTGGGGGTAGGGAACAAGAAAGTTGAAGATGTAAAATATTACGATTGAGAAGACAAAATAATACTAATCAAGAGACAAAAAAAAGGTTATGTAGAATTTGCTTGTCGGGTAATAAGCTAGATTATGTCCATTCCAAGTCTAGTGACTGAACGAACTTCATTTGTATGCAGAGCTCAGGGCTCAGCGAGTGAATTACCAGTTTGAAGAAGCTTGATTCGTACACTTTTAGGAAGACTACTTCGTATTCTGTAGAAGACTTTGAATTTTGCTTGGGATGTAGCTTGGTGTCCGGAATCTATCAGATGTTCTAAGATAGAGCTGTGGGGGCATCGATTTCCTCCTTTGTAAAACCATGCTAGTAAGTGTTTCATGATACGTTTGAATAGCGAACGCTGGGTACGGCCGACATACCTGGTGGCTCCACACAAGCCGGCGAATTGATAGATACACACTGATGATGTCAGCAGGGAAAAAATTCACGTTAAAGTGTGACCACTAGCCAATGTCATCGTTAGTAAGTACTTATTTTCACATCCGACCTGCTGTACCCCTATTGGTCGCGACTTATTACTAGAACTCAGATAACTACCTAACTGAATAGGGCCAGTCGCAAGTATTATATTGCATATGTGCACCGAACTTTTTAGACAAACTCCATCTTCTAATGACTTTACCCAAATGAGCTATCGAAAAACTGCATGTTGAAGTTTTTATCAGTAACCATCAAAATATACTGAAAATATTAGTTATCTTGGTGTAAGTTTTAACTATTCAATGATAGTAATCACTTCTTTGGGACTGTTATAAACCGTGAATTTAAAGCCAGGAATCAGGAATCAGTCAACGATTTACAAGACAAAACTGTTATTAGTTAAACATGAACGATATTCAGGTTAAGCTTTCAAATAGTTTTATCCACTGGTAAAACATGTACTCAAAAAAGGGAGTTATAGAAGACACTGTGATGGCCACATAAACAATGAAACGTACCCGAAACTTTGTGGGACTATTAATACTATATCATTTTGTGTTATATTTTAATAAGCTTGTCTAATATGATATTCCAAACAGTTTTAAGTCTAAAAAGACTCCATTAAGAGGTAAAAAGTGAGGCTGAATATCTCGTTTTTAACCAGTCTAAAAGTAGAACTGGGTAACGTGGCTTCAAATCTCACAGAAGACATGATTTCCTGCAAAGCAGTGGATACGTGTAGCTAACAAGTGCCAGAAATCATGGGAACTAGATGAATGGCTTCCTGCCGATTATTTCCAAACATCTGACATCTAAAAGATGTATCCTACGAGAGTCAACCTCTAATGTCAAATGTCAGCCAAAGTAATATTAATTTGAATTAAAACCATTGTTGGTTGAGGCATCACAATACTAACCTATGAAGTCTGCAAGTGTCGGTATAAACGGTATAGGTTACTTGCACATATGTTCCTTATTCAATTTGTTCAAGTTGGAAGCAGGAAAATGCTAAGTTATAGTTAAGTTAAACGTACCATATTAGATAAGGACTGGAACCTAATTTATTAGGCTTTACAGATTCTTACGGATAGGATAAATGCTGGTCATATCAATCCACTACATTTCTAAACGAACGGTGGTAGTCAAAGTAGTACTAGGTTGAAATAGGGACTGTATGAGTGTCAGGTTGAAACATGCTACTGGTCCATGCAACAGTAAGGAGATGTGGATAATCTCACCAATAATGGTCCAAATGTATTCACTACCTGTCGTCAATCAGGTTTTAAAAATGTTCATCTATCTAAATTCATTGATCTTTTCTGTACCATTTAGTCTACTGCAGTTTTATCACATCTTCCCTCTAATTCTGTGTGCAATTCATTAAGGTGTAGCAACTTGTTAAGTCAGTCAGGTTGTTTGGACAAGATCCCAAAGACAATCAGTACTGATGCTTGAAGACACTAGATGGTATAACTCAAATATGACTACAACTTATTTATGAAAATATTTCTTTATTGACTCATTTCCTTAATTAATTCTTTTATGCCACCTTGCAGCTTTTGATCAGGCTCATCTGTTTATAAAATGTAGTCTCCATGACTTTACAGTATGAGAAAGTGTTTGATCGGCCGAATTTCCTAACTGAGGTAAAGTAAACCATGAAAGATCAGTAATGCTAACCTGCACACTTTTAAAATAATTGTTTGATACGTAATGTTTACTTTACGAAATCGATTCCAATACATTAAATCGTCTAAAAGTCTGTTAAATGCGTAGTACACCTTAAGTGGCACCAAAATAAGCTAAGAGCTAAAATAAGTAGATCTTATTGTGGTTAGACTAAGTAAACTCCCAACTCGCTTTTGAAAGATTTGGATGCTTCAAGTTTTGTTTTGACCGACGAAGCATCGACGCTATTCTGTGCTTCTCCATTTTGTTGGTAATACGCACATTTCCAGAGTTCGGATTTCAACGACACTAACTGAAAAAACCCCTAAAATCTTTTCCCCAAAAGCAACCTTTCTGATTTGTGTTTTTTCGTCTTTACTTATAGATCAAGTAAGGCGTTTATTAAGGGTGATACAATGAAACATAGCAGTGGCAAAATTACATGCAGTCATTTAGACAACACAACCTTAGAGTTCAACCAGAGAACAGGCAACTTAAGGTTGGCAGTAGACAACACAAACACACTTCAGTTTTAGTAGCTTTACTCATTATAATAGTGGGATTTATCACTGGTAAAATTTAGTATAGTACAAAAATAAGATTATGCATTAATGAAATAGTAGGGGTAAATGATTTGAAAGTAACAACAAAACATCATTACTATAGATATGATTTTTGGGTAGAAGATGGCGCGTTAGTTCTGATCTGGTAAGCATACAATAATCTTAATGTATTCGTGTTGTAAACGAAGCACCAGTAACGAAACTCATAAAAGTTAAATGTTATGTGGTAACGAATGGTAACAGGTGTAGTTAAAATGATGCCTAGGATGAATAGTTTATTTATGAAACCATAATTGTTCTTGAAGCCGTAGGAGGTACACTAGACGGGTGCTCATCATGTATGCGATTAATTTTAGCTAGAAATGGATGTTTCAACAACGCATCAATTGAAGCTCGTCGATGAGGAGAACGACACAAACATATAAGTAGAAAGTCTTTCGCCTTATTTGACAATATGACTGAGTTACTATCTAATTTCGATGCTCTGCTTCCGAACTTTTCATGTATGTTGGATGAATAGTAAAGACTCGTATGAACATCTAGTTGTGATCTGTGGGTAGATTGAGGATAATCAGGAATAGAGGAATCGCACATCCATGGGTTTTTAAAAGGAAAACGTCGACATAATAAAACAAATGCAGTACAGCCAATAGACCATACTTCAGCTGCAGGAGTCCAAGGTTGTCTCTTAATAAGAACTTCGGGTGGAGCATAATCAGGGGTACAGCCAGGAGGACCAACTTTCTTGTTCGTAGGTTTGATTTCTGAAGCGAGGTTAAAATCAATCAACTTCAGACGGAAGTTCCTCTTATCAAAAAATATATTATCCGGTTTCAAGTCACAGTGAACTATATTACATTTATGAATTTCCATAATAGTCAAAATTAATTCTCTCAAAATCCATGCAACTGTCCTTTCATCCAATACGCTGTGAGAACGACTAAGCTGATGTGCCAGATTTTCATATCCATGTGCTTCAAGATCTTCGAGTACTATAACCCACTTATCATTTTCTTCGTCATTTATAAATTCTATCATTCGAACACAATTGTGAATATGTTGAAGCCTTTCGAGATACACAAGTTCGTTTGGAACTGCAACATCATTTCCCGTCTTGTCATCTAAGCGAAAAGTCAATAAATCCGGTGTCATTGTTTGCTTGTTAAACACCTTAAGGATAACTTTTTCTTGGTTTTCATTACGCACTGCTCGGTATACAGCTGTCGTGGAATTCTCATCAATTTTTTGAACAGTCTTGAACAATGATTCCATATGAAATATTTAATACACCGGTGGAAATTCAAGGGAATTATAATGTATTCTGGATTAGAACTAGATTAAACTTAGACCAGATGTAAATATATTCGAAAAAATGTCACAGAGGCAAGTTCATTCTTTTAGATGATTCTAACAAAAAATGACTTTCAATAACTTAGAACTTCCTTAGTGAGGTATTATACATGACGCTAACTTCTATGAGATAAATTGTTGATTGTGAGCAGTTTATGATTGCTAGTAGACCGCTGCTTGTTCATTCCTGCCACTGATTATGGCTAGGGAAGGTTTAGAATTTATGTTATACTTACAGAGATTCCATTATCAGCATCACTGCTCATGTAGGTCAGTTTTGGAGCTTCACAAGAGGAAACATAACTATTTTATTATAAGCATTTAACAACAGCAATACCTCTTCCTTACTTCTCGAATGGAACATAGGGTCTCGGTAGTACATATCCATTGCAGTCTGTTATCCGAAATTACAATTGCTCACAGGATTCCATTTCCTCTTCACATGATTCACTTCGTGCTACCTTTGAACTCTTTTTACGATTTAGAATACAGTTGGGCAGATGCATAGTTGTCCAGCAGTAGTTAGTTGATCAGTGCATTGCCAGAGTTCCCTTTTGACTATCCTTTTCGACTGCACATCTGATCCCCAGTATCCACCGGAGGCAACTGAAAGAGAAAGTGTCTGGTAACCTGTTGCAGATGCTTTTGTGACTCGTGAAGTTTGTAAAGCAGTAAGGAGTGTTCACACTAGTGTTTAAAATTTAGGTTTAGTTTCTTCTATTATTTGCTTTAGATCTGCATGACAATTTGCATTAACGAAAGCCTATCTTGCATTTTGGGACATTAAGGTCTTATACTCTGGCTCCAGTCACAGAATTACTAAAGATGATGATGTCGGCATGGGATTCTCCGTCCCCATTCATTCCCTTCCGGAGTTGTCTGCTTCCATTTAAGCCTGTATTCATATCGCTCATTAAAATTTCCGTATTATTTGGGGTCTTGTTTAATATCTCCACAATCACAACCTTTCGACTCCCCAGCATCGCAGTATTGTTCCAACAGAAGGTCTATAGTCATCCCCTCTAAAATAATGTATATCGGAAGTAATGGACATCAGATTTGTTAGGAGGATTCGACATCTGAATCACTTAGCAGGACTTTCATGGGTATTTGTATACTCCTCATAGCGATGCTCAAGCAAGATGTTATCAGCTCATTTCTGTGGCTCGTCAAGATTCTTAGAATTCATTTGTGCTGTGGCACTCTTTAGTGTACGTATGAAGTTTTCTGCCAACCCGTTTGACTGAAGATGACGTAGTGCTGTGAACGGATGACGGAAACCTCCATGTTTAAGCCAATCACTGAAGTTCTTCCCAGTGAAATCGGTAGTACTGTCAGTAATGAAGACATTCGGAATTCCTTCTCTCAAAACCTTATCTGCGGATGTTACGTTAAGATTATCTGCTGTCTTCTATCGCTATACGCGATGTTAGTCGATAATTTTGCCTCCATTTTAATATAATAGCGAGTTACTGAAATATGGTGACAAAATTTCACGCCTGGTTATGGGCATGGTACATGGTACATAACAAACCTAACGTACGTTCAACAGCGTGTTTCTCTTGCTGCTGATGTAAGTTATTCTGACAGTATAAACTCTACTACTTGCGTCGATCGTTGAATCCTTACACCCTAACAGGCGTAGTGCTCCCCTACCTGGTTTCGGAATTTTCACCCGCGAAAACATTTCTTCTATGTCAGCGGCAAACGCTACAACATCGCCTGGGGGCGTAGAAGTATTCCAGCTAAACTGATGACAGTGTCTGTTCCTCGTAATAACCGATCATTCAAACATGCACCACAGTATCTGGCTGCAGAGTCGAAAAATACTTGAAGCTTTTCAGGCTTTTTCAGATTCATAACGGGATGATGAGGCATGCACCACTTTACGCTTTCCGAATGAGCGCGTATTCCGGCCATTTTTATAATAAGCCCTTTAAGCCAATGTCTCGCCATGACCTATTCATACTTACTTAGTAGAGTACTGTCTTTGCAAAGACGTCCATTGAGATACTGGGGTCTATAACTCGCCATTCCGTAATTGTCCTGCAGATTGGGACGACCATACTTCCATGATAATCCCACCTCAAAATGGCTGTCGGCAAGTCCAGAGAAACGAGCAGCACTCCACTTCCGCTCCAGCACTCTTTTGTCCTCTTTGGAATGTTCACCACTTGGACTTCCATATATTTATGTTCATGATCTTATAGTCCTTCAAGACTGTTCAGTGTTCCTCGACTATAAGGTAAGATAACATAAAACTTTATTTGTTGATTAACCACGTTAAATCGGCTCTAATATGATCCAGACCGAATTGGTTCTAACAACAAACTGCTGCTTCCTCCATCCTAGTGTGCATCTGGAGAATAGGGACCGACCAGAAGGCTGACCGTGCCATCTTCACTTCCCGGCAGTCTGATGTCTTTCAGATGTTCGAGGGCCCTTAACTGTTCCTCCATAGGGTGTTGTCCTTTAAGGTCTGAGTAGATGGGGCATCGTGTGCGCTTTGTTCATTTTCGCCTAATACTCTTCACCCAAGGAAAAAGGTTCTGGAGCCACTTCAGCACAGCTATCTGTGGGTCATCCCCTTAATGTTCAACCCTTCAACGATCCTATCTAAAACCTGGGACCTGCTGTCTAGAATATACGTTTCCAGACACCTCTTCGGTCCAAACAACTTCGAAATGACTAGACGAAGGCAGACCCTCCCAGTATTGTTCTCATGTCCAAAAACTGTCATTGAACTCATAATTTCGTTATTGTTCTCGAAATGAAGCAGAGTGTGATGGCGTGACTTGAGTCCATCCACCTTACTTGTATATTAGGAAGGACACTATCTTGCTATGTTGCCTAATTTGAGAGAAACGTAACCAACATTAGGCTTCCTAAAAGTTTGTTTCCTCCCCTCGATTGTCTTATCCTCCATTCTGGGGTACTCCTCTGAGCCTTCGAATTACCCTATGAATGCTGTCAGGTTGCATTACAACAGACGGTTCAGCTATACTTTAATGAGACACAGGTTACTGCCTCCGTGTGCCCTCCCACTCGGTGTCTGCGTTGCGCTTAAATTACATTCCGTAATGTGTTCGAGTCACTTGCGCTCTCTCTTCTGCAAACGTAACTAGAACTTAGATTTAGGGTGGTTACCGGCCACCCTAATTCTGCCGGCTACATCAGCCCATTTTGACTGCATTTTGATAGGAAGCGGGCTGATATTTCATCCTAGATTTTTAGGAGACTTCAGATCAGAAATGCATCTAGTGCTGCTAACCGTTACTGGCCCCAACTCAACATGGTGCCAGAAAAGATAGCAACGATTGGCGAAAAGCTGGTGACTCACGGCTAGTGACCGATAAATGACCACTGAGTGCTATCCACTGACTTTTACGCAGGATTTAACGGCAGCATTTTTTGATGCAACCCACTTTTACAAAACAAATTTGGTTGAAGCACGCAAACAAATTCATATGGGACCAGATGGTATTCCGAAAAAAGCTATTGTCTGCCAACTCTCATAAACTGTCAATGTCCAGCTCTTACTACGCTGGACCTCACGCTGTCCCTCGAAGACTTTCAGAAACACTTTGTATTGACCAACGTGAAAGCCAGGACACTGATTAGCGACTCAAGAATCCTTTATTCTTACGTCAACATGTGGCCAACAATAAGGTTATTACACAAGGTCTAAGAATAAATGTTATAACAATAAATCACGATATTACTTCTGATAGATTTTAATCTTCCCCTGAACAGCGAACGATGAGAGGATGACCGCCGGATTGATGACCCTCGAAAAATATGGAGGAGTTGAGTTAGAGCAAACAACCATGAATTGATCGTTCAATCTTCAACTACATTGACACTCCCCGGAAAAAAAGGGATCCATCCCTTTTTTCCATCACGACCAATGCACGTTGACTTGGATGCCATCGCGAGAACCTCGGTCACACGTCAAAGCTGAAATGGAAAACAAACAGAAAAGCCAACACACCACTAGCATACCCACAGCACAATCACACTCCTAGACGACGACCTACGACTTCCATTTAAAGGTATCCTCTTATAACACAATCGCCACTTACTAGAATGACTCTTGCGGAACGCAACGTGACCACTGGAGCACCTCGTGATACTCTTCACACATCCTCTTTTCTATTCACTACCAATTACCACTGCAATCGCTTGTCATTCATTCTTCCTCAGTTCTGGTAACGGTGACGTATGCAAGCCTCAGTCGTCTACATCCCTCTCTCCGGCGTGTGAGACCACAGCTAATCATTATCTCCGTGTGCATGTCATTCTCATTACTAGGCTCCCCGGCGTATACGACCCATCTGCTGTCTTTAACATCAATCAATTCATTCACGAATGTGGAAGACTAGAAACCACTTCAGAAGTAATCACGACGAAAAATTTAACAAAATTATGCAATAACAACAAGATACGAAAACAACAAGTAAATACAGTGAATCCAAAAACACCAAGTGATATGACACACCACACGTATATACAAACAGTACAAATAACCTCGCCGACCATGTCTTGATGTAATTCTCTTGAAGAATTGCAGGACTTACACCAGTATGCCTACAAGCCTTTTCAGGTTGACGCCCTAGGTTAGAAAATCGTCGCAGAGTTCATTTGCTGGCCTCCTTCTATCAGCTATATCCTCAAATCTGAACGGTAACACGCTCATGTCATTGTATCGTAGAATATAGATGACTAACAAATATAAGACGTGTCTGACCAACCGAGTGTAGAAACAGAGTAACTTACACCAAAGACAATAACATTCAAATAGCAATTTGAAACTTAAAATGCATTTATTCGTGCAAATCAGCTTAAAAATTACCCTCGCATGCACAGTTGGCTTATCCTCACTAAACTGACCATTTACTTTCGTTCTTTCAAACTGACTGATA